AATTCCCCCCAAATACGGGAATAAAATAATTACAACATATTCAAAACACCAACGATTAAGCATATCCTCCTTTCAAAGACTGAGTATTGTACCTTCTAATAAGTATCTAATAGGTGCAAAACATTGCTGTAGATGAAGTTGACCAAGGCTGCACTTTGGCTCCATGGGTAGGAATCACAACTAGATGACTATAAAGTGACCACAAGGTCATGGAACTCTTTTGGTAGACGGATACAGGTAAACACTTGTCTCAAATAAAGGGTTGTTTCTTAATATAGAACTTGATAGGGGCAGCTAGGTGATGCAGTGGATAGAGCACTGGCCCTGGATTCAGAAGGACCTGAGTTCAAATTCAACCTCAGACACCTAACACTAGCTGTGTGACCCTGGGCAAGTCACTTAACTCCATTGCCCCCCCAAAAAAAATACACACACACACACACACATATATGTATACACACACATATATGTATACACACACACACACACATATACACACATACCCACCCAGACACACACACATACGTGGAACTTGATGCTTACGAACAAATGGTTTACCATAAGCATATAAACATTCTACCAGAAGTGAACACATTTTCTCAAGTGGATTATGTTGCTTCTAGGAGGAGACTGTTGTTCAATCATGTCTGACTTTTCGTGAGCCCGTGGACAATATCACACCAATGCTATCCACAGGGTTTTCTTGGCAAAAATACTGGAGTAATTTGCCATTTCTTTCTCCAGTGCATTAAGGAAGAGACCACTGATCTCAAATAAGTGACTCCTTACTTCCAGTCTTCCTTTTCATTCAGCCTCCAGACTGATTTCACTTTTGCATTTGCCTTGGCAATTGCTAAAAGGGAGGAGTTTCAGGAATTTTTCCGGGGAGAAAGAGTACAGAATGACTACTGGTAGTGGATGAGAAACACCAAGCTCTCTTGTACGGTTGAAGGAGGGGAAGAGGGATGGGGTTCACTGAATCATTCAGTCAGGCAGCCAGTCATTGAGATGGAAAATGGAGAAAGAGGGCAAATTTCCTTATGCCTCTGTCTGAATTATAGCTCTTCCTTCCCCCGCACATTACTGCCCCCAACATGTCTTCTAAAGGTGGAGCTCTGTGGAGATTTAGTTTAGTTTTGTTTTGTTCTGTTTTTTAATGACCTAGAATCAAATTTAATTTCACTTTTGGGCAAGCTACCTAGATGCCTAGGCTATGAGACATGGCAGTACTTACCAGATATTTCAGACTTTACTTTTTAGGACTGCTATTGATTATATTTGCTCTTATAACTCTCAAAAATGCACTGCAGGCATTTAAAAATACAAAACAATTCCTCCACCATCATTTGTGAATATGATGGGACTAGGTCCATGAGTTCCTTGGTACAGAGAATTCCTAATAGGAAAACTCCCTTTACTGATGCATATTGGGACCTTCTCTGTAAATGGCAGTCTCTTGTTTTTGCATGTTAATTTTGAGTAATGAATCTAGGAGGAGGTTAGCCCTTCAACTTTAGCTAAAACTTTATTAGGGAACAATATTTTTTTTGAACTGAGCTTCTCCATATATATGTGGACTGATATATTATTTCTTTGAGTTCAGGTCAACGTTCTGCCATCTAGACTGTCTGACCCCAGCAGTAGGTCACATCACCTTTTTAGATATTCAAAATTAGGAGGTTGTGCTAGAAAACCTCCAGGGCCTTGGCACATCTTGCACTTTGTGTGGATGACATTTTTCTCGTTTGCCATTTTTAAGGAATGCTTGGATAAGAAATGACATGAAAGTGGAGTTTTGGTCAGCTTCTTTGGCACAGTTTTTCATATAGTGGGCACTTAAGTATTTGGTGAATTGAATGAAATAATTCATAGTCATTATGTTGTGCTCTTGATTAGTGGAAGCTTTAAGGCTGAAATCAGATTCAATGCTTGAAGCTCTCTATACAGGCTCATATACATTTTCTACCCTGCCCTGATGATAATGATGATGGCTTTAAGGTTGTCAAAATTCTTATTTGATCCTCACAAACCTGTGAAGCAGGTGCTGTTACTGTCCTCATGAGCAGATGAGGGAGCTGAAGCCGCAAGGGACTTGAACCCAGTTAGTCCTGACTACACATACAGCATGTTTAGGAACATTTATCTTTTACATTAATAGATTAGATGGCATTTGATTTATATAGCCATTGATAAAAACTTAGCATACCCCTTTAAAAGAAACAGATCAGTCTTATTCCTGTAGAATAGGTGATGAAAGACATCATATTCCTCCTTTGGGGAAAGAAGTGGGAAACAATGGTTATGGAATGTTTATATTATTAAATGTCACTTTACCTGTTAGTTTTGCTTAACTGTTTTTCATTATTGCAAGGGAAAATTCAGTGGGATTTGGCATATGGGAATGGGTCTAAAAATAAAATGCATCATTAAAATTTTGGGGAAAAAAATATGGTTAGACAATCTCCAACCGTACTTTCCTCCACCCAATTGACTAGGAGCAAACATTAACCACAGAATTGAATTTCTCCACATATGTGATATTGGAATCGTCCTTAACTCTTCCCTCTCCTTTGCCTCTCATTTGCAATCAGTTACCAAATCTTGTCAAATCTACCTCCGTAATATAGCTTGCCTCTGTGTCCCACTTGGTACTCACATAATCACCATGCTAGTTCAGGCTCTCATCACCTCTTACTTTGGATAATAGCCTCTTAATTGTTATGCCAGCCTTCAGTGTCCCCTTCTCCACTCCACCATTCACACAGCTACAAAGGTGATATTCCTAAAGCACACTGTTGCTCAAGAAGTTCCAGTGATTCTTGCCTTTGTAAAAATACAAACTTCTCTGATTGGCTTTCAAAGACCTTCACAATTTGGTTCCAGCCCACCTTTCCAGTATTTTTGGACCCTACTCTTTACTATCTAACAAAGCTGGTTTGTTTGCTGTTCCTTGTATACAACACTTCCATCCCTTCAAATTCCCATAGTCTTGCCTTTCACCCATGCATTGAATGTACTCTTTCTTCAACTCTGCCTAAGAAAATTCATACTTCTTCAAAGATCAGCTCAAGTGTTACCTCCTACAAGTCTGATCCCACCCCAGTTGCTAATGTCTTCCCCCTAGAAATTACCTTGCTGTATGTTTTGTGCTGAGTGTTCTATATGCATGTTTCCTCTAATAGAATTTGAGCTCTTTTAGGGCAGAGACTGTTTAATCTTTATATTTACATAATCTTTACCTTTAATCTTTATGTCTCTAGCACCAAACACAGTGCTCAGCATATAATAACCTCTTAATAAATTCTTGCCAGTTGTAGATCTTACCTTTTCCTTCCAGCCTTGGCTTTGGAGTACAATATACACTTGGTAGCTTTGAATAACCTTTAAATTAACTACATTAATACCCAGTAAAATAAATGGGCAGAATTCAGTATAGTGGATTGGAAATCCTAACTCAACTTAGTTTAAATATACTTACCTGTGACCAGTATCCTAAAGGTTTCTATCCAAATTGTGGAATACCAATTACCAATTATGACTATAAATAATTGCTTAAATTGAGGTGAACTATCAGACAAATAGGAAAAGGTTATCAATTCAGCTCCTTTTAAAATATTTTAGAGTAAATATATGTGAATATGCAATATGAATATACATATACATATATATTAATCTGCAGTGCACTTGATTATGAACTTTAAAAGGTCATGTAGTTTTCCTCTTTTTAGGTGTCTAAGCCCAGTCACATAGTATATTAGGAAGCATGATTTCATTGCTAAAAGCGTGGAATTAGAAATCAATATTTAAGGATACTTTTTTATTCCTCTACTTAGTTCTATGTTTAAAAGACCACACGGATAGATAACATTAGCCCACATCACAATAAAGTTGCAATACAGCATGTAGTAGAAAAGATTGTGGAAGCTACCATCAAAAAAGCTAGGATCGAGGCCCAACTCTGCCACTTATTAGCTCTTTTACCTTTGGCAAGCCACTAACTGTTTCTGGGCCTCAGTTTCCTGATCTGCAAAGTAGAGGTAGTGATAGTTCTACCCACAACTGCCCCAAAGTATTGCTGTAAAGAGTACTTTACAAATGTGAGGAAGTCATGCTATGAACACCCTTCTCATACTTCTAGGGTGGTTTCTCTAGCCAGGCTCTCCATGGGTGTACTTTCCATCTTTTAGTACTTTTACTTCAAGAACTCAAATCCTTTTCTTGTGGCATAAGGGTAAACCTAGGTTCATGAAGGCCTAATAGCTATGCCAGAAGACCACAAACTTTGGAAGGTCCCATAAAAACTTCTCATTCTTGGGTATTTTTCCTTCAAGAACCCCTCACTCAAGTCTTCCTCCTATTGTATAAAGGTAAGCCTGATTTCATCAAGGCTCAAAACCTAGGTCAGAAGAACACAAACTCTGGAAATATCTACCCTTCTCCCCTCTACCTCGGAGAGGAGCTGTTTGTAGAGTTTAACTCTGGTTTGTCCCTATAAGTAGAAAATAAGGGTTATTATGTACTTACTGTGTTTTATCTTCTATTATAGTTATTTATATGTGTGTATTTTTTATTCCTTTACTAAGATATTCACTCAGTAATGTCAGGATCAAGGTCCTTCTCATCCCCTCAGTGCCTTAACCACAATATTTTTTGTACATAGTAGGCAACCAATAATTGCTCATTGAACTGAACTGAATTGAAGTTTAAGTCAAGTAAAATCAGTAAGTCCTTGATGTTACTTACATCATTTTATATTTGCCTGGCTTATTATTTTTATATATTTCTTATTTGCCTAAGCAAGGAGTTTTAATGCTTTTTAAAAATACTTATTTTTATAAACTCTTTTTAAACATATTTTTGTTGAGATTGGAGAAAGCAAGTTTAGAAAAAACTGATCTTTTGGTGATATTTCCCCCTTTATCCACTCATTTTTCATTGCATGGATAAAAATAATTTTTTTTATCAAACTCTGCTTCTCCTTTTGCCACTGTTTATTACAGAGGAAGTATCTGCAAGGATAGTCCAAGTAGTAACTGCGGAAGCTGTTGCAGTCCTGAAAGGTGAACAAGAAAAAGAAGCCCAGCATAAAGACCAACCTGCAGGACTCCCTATAGGTAAATCCAGGAGCTTGCCAGGGTTATCTGTGCTTCCTGTTTGTATTTGGTCCTCAATCTGTATCGATTCTGCTTCATAGGGGTGGCCAAGGTTGCCGTGGCATTCTAGGCCTTAAGCCATCTTTTATAAGCAGGAAGCTCTAAGTATCCTGAGTGCCCTTTGGGGTAGACAGATTTTGAATTTCTACCCTAATTAGTTCCCTCCGTTCTTTCATCTACTTAGAACTAGGTCAATTAGAGAAAACTCTAGTTCAGTCAGGAAAGAGCCATGTTATAACTGCATAGCTTTAAGCATACAGAAAGACTCCTTCTCTGTCCCCTTTTTTCTTAACCTCCAACTGGTTATCAAGTGTTGGTTTCATAGCTTCCATAATATCTCTCCTCCACCTTTTCCTCTCTATTTCAACTGCTATGATCCAGTATAGGCCCTTATTACTCACATGCTGGACTATTTCAATAGCATCCGAATAGGGCTTAGTATTTTAGGGCTAAGAGGTGGAAGGACCTTCCAGGCCATCTGCTGTATTTCACCCCTTATCTTATAAATGGGGAAACTAAGGTCCTGAGGTTCATTCTCCTCTACTCTAATCTCTGCTTTAGAGAACTACCAAACTCCTCTTACAGATGCAGAGTTCTAATCTTATCCCTCCTTTACTCAACCAAGCAACAAACTCTTCGGTGGCTTCCTATTGTCTATGAAGTAAAATTCAAATGTCTTTGTCATTCAAGGCTCTCTACCCACTGATAATACCCTGCCATTTCAGCCTTCCTGCTCTGCTATATTCAAGTCAAACTAGATTATTCTTTGTTTCCTGAACATATCCTTTTACCTTTTCCTTGAGTATCTTCCCAACCTATAAGGTCCACTTTCAGAAGCACATATGCAGCCTGGAAAAGGCCACTGCCTCAGACTTCACGTAACACTTTTTCTTGTACTTTATGTTTATTATTTTGAATCATGGTATTCTATGTTTGTACCTTATGCCCATACTAGAGTATAACCTGAATGAAGGTAGGAAAATCATTTTATCTAACTTTCAGTCTCCTCTTCCAATCGACATTTTTCTTCACACAGTAGATCTTCAAAAATATATTTGTTGAATTGAATAAAAGATACCATCAACTTGGCTTGTCATTTCCCTTTGCCTAGGAGACTTATTGAAGATATAATTCTAATAACAGTGACAACATTTCATATTTGTATAGTGTTTTCCAAAGTGTTCTCCCTGTAGCAGCATTGTAAGGTAAGGTAGAATATTATTATTCCCATTTTACAGATGAGAAAACCATGGATTAGAAAGATAAAACAATTTGTTTAGGATCACGCACCTAGGAAGAAGTGAAGCCAGATAACAAATTTCAGAATTACAGAATTGGAGGGTTGGAAAGGACCTCATTAGTCATCTTGCCTAACTCATTGATAAAGAAACCTTTCATAGCTAAAACATCTAATTTTGGTGCCTGATTCTAGTACCTAATTCCCTGTTTGTTCTTCTTTACACTCCACCAATTGTATCCCTGGCTACATTCTCTTAGAAGGATATACACTAAAATCATGTCCAAAACTATTTTGGAGCAAGCAGCAACTCTCCTTCCTCTCTCTTTGTGGAGGCTAATTTTCTGTCTCATACTTAAGAGCAATTTCAAATTGCACGCTTGTTTTAATTTTATGGCAGTGAACCATTTTCACTTTTTAAATCTGATTACGTATTCATTGGATCAAAGGTACTTTAGGGAATTGCAAAGGTGGGAGGTTGGGAAGGATTGATATCCATGACTAGAGGGTCCTGAAGACACATAAAACAGAGAAAGAAAGAAAGAAAGAAAGAAGAAGAAAAGAAAGAAAGAAAGAAAGAAAGAAAGAAAGAAAGAAAGAAAGAAAGAAAGAAAGAGAAAGAAAGGAGGGAAGGAGAGAAAGAGAGAAAGAGAGAAAGAAAGAAAGAAAGAGAGAAAGAAAGAAAGAAAGAAAGAAAGAAAGAAAGAAAGAAAGAAAGAAAGAAAGAAAGAAAGAGAGAGAAAGAAAGGAGGGAAGGAGGGAGGGAGGAAAGAAGGAAGGAAGAAGGGAAGGAGGGAGGGAGGAAAGAAGGAAGGGAGGGAGGAAAGAAGAAAGGAATGAAGGAAGGAAGGAAGGAAGGAAATCAAATTTGTATATAACGCAAAGTACATACAGTAAACTAATAGGTAGGTACATCTCTGACCCCTGCACATCTCTACTAAAGTTATATGTTGCATCATAGGTTTGGATTTCTTCTTCTAGGCAATCATATAGCTTACTTAGAGTTTAGGATTTTTATCTGCACAGCTTCAATTCTTTACTTTTAATTTTATAATAGAAATAAAATAATATACTCCAGTAAATTATATATAAAATATATTAAATTGCCCTTAAATAAGGCAATGTTATTAAAGGCCCTCAAGTTTGTTGAGTGGGGGCATGTACATACACACACACACAATCTTAACTTTGACTTAGTGATAGGCGCATATTTTCATAGAAAGTCTAATTCATGTTTTGATTTTTTTTATTGGATACTTAGGAAAAGTCAGATTTAAGCCAATAGGTCTAAAGAATTAAGTAAATATTTTCCAACAGTCATAGTTGATCTCAATCTATGAAATGAAAATTCATGATATATTTTAAATGGGTAGGTTCTGCTGCTATCTTGAGCAATAATTGTTTTCTCTGCAAAGCCCTTACCAACTGTGGTTGGTAAGTACCATAAAGAAGATGAAGATGTTAAAGAAGAAAAAAAAATCCTTCATTTAATTGAGTTAAATGAAATCCTTAGAACCTTCTAACAATATTCATAATTATCTATAGTGTTAAGGTCAAAGGATAGGCAGGCATTTTCATTAACATATTCTCTTCCCTCCAAGGGTTATTTGCCCCAAATTGTTTTAGAATGTTGGCATATACTAGCAGCATTTTGTGTTTTTATGTAAGTGGATAAAAATCCTTCTATATTTTAACAACTTTTTTATATTTTTAACAAAAATTTTTATCATATACTTTTTTTAAAAAAATAACTTGAAAAAAGTGAGGCAGAGAGCTTCATCTTCCCTTTTCAGATCAAATCCAAAGTCAAGAGTCTTAATGTGTAAGTTTGGAGGCAATCTATAAGAATAAGGAGTAAATATTTTACCAATCTAGCAGGCATAAAGAAGACAAGCTGAATAAATTGATGGTCACTATCAATAGAGATTTGCTCATTTATTTTGATGATTTACATACTTTCTAGTAAAAATGAAATGTTTTGCTTTTATTGAAGGTTAAAAAGCATGCCTACCATAATATCTTTGAGTCTATTAATTGTACTTTACTTTTGTATCTTTCCCTGAATTGACTAGAAAGCCCTCATTGAAATTAGTATGATATATTAGTATGTGTAGCTTATGAATTGCTCAATCCCATTTATTTCTTCATTGTTCCATCTCTAGCAGTTGAAGAGTCCGCTAATCTGCCTCCCTCTCCACCTCCATCACCAGCCTCTGAACAGACTGGAACAGTGGAGGAAGGTAAGCACAAATGGGACATTTGGGGACATAGTCCTCAGATAAAGGGGAGCCAAGCTCCAATTCATAGGAGTCAAACTTTCTAAGATATCGGTAGATAAACTTGCCTTGGCTCTGCCTTAGCTTTTTTGCCCCTCACCTTAGCTTGCAGAAGATATTTTATCTTTCAAGTAACTTGGAATTAGTTAAAAATGTATATTGTATAAATAAATTGTATAAATCAGAGTATGTGGTGAACAAAGAAAGAAAAAATAACTCTTTGCCTTTAAGGAGCTAAAATAAATAATAACTGTTCTAATGCTAGATTCTTCTGACAGCAAGGACAACCAGGATGTTTAATGGCTCTTAAATAGCATCAGGAATGGCTTTAACATTTTCATAAGTCGATTATGTAATGTCAGGAATCCGACTTAAGCCTATCAGAGAGACATATGCAACCTTGAGAAAATGTTAGCTAGGATTGAAAATGACAAATTTAGAGCCAAGAAACTGGGTTTCATCCCTAGCAGGACACCTTCCAGACCATAGCTCTTGAAATCTGAAGAATCCAGTTCACCAGCAACTCAGTGAAGCATTAATATAATGCTATGTAAGCTTTCTTCTCCCCAGCGACAAAATAGGGCACTGCCTTGGTGTAAAATTCCTTCAGACTCTCAAATGAAAAGCACTATTTAAGGGCAGGATGTTACCATTAGCCCTTTATTGCTTGAAGTGGGCCGTTTAAACTGCTTCATTCATTCAGTGTTAAAATAAAACTGCCAAGTTAAGTTACAGATTATGTTACACCTCAACAATGAATTGCTTTACTGTGTTGCATATTCGTGTGTATCTGCATAAGACACACTAAGTTCATTCTAAGGTTTTAATTCATTTTTTATTTTACTCTCCACCTTTCCATTTCTTTCCTCTTTGATCATTTTAGTTGTTTCTTGCAGATAAACATTGATAATAATATGTATGTCTATTTATACATATATGTATGTAAAGCCAAATATATCTGATTAAGCTTTAAATATATATACATATACATGTGTACATATATATAGTATCATAGATACAGAAAAATCCTGAGGTTTTCTAGAATAATTTAAAATCAAATATATTTTATACATATTTTATAAGATCATAGATTTAGAGTTTGGAAGGAACCTTAAAATACATCTAGCCCAATCTCATTTTACGCAAGGAGACTGAAACCTTAAAAAGGTTAACTGACTTGTCTGAGGTTGCACAAATAATAAGGGACAGACCCAAAATTCAATCATAGGTCATGTTCTCTGACTTATGTACAGCACTATTTCCACTACACCATACTGCTAATCTCTTTCTCTCTCTCTCTCTCTCTCTCTCTCTCTCTCTCTCTCTCTCTCTCTCTCTCTCTCTCTCTTTCTCTCTCTCTCTCTCTCTCTCTCTCTCTCTCTCTCTCTCTCTTTTCTCTTTCTCCCTCTCTCTCTGTCTCTGTCTCTCTGCCTCTCTCTCTCTATCTCTCTGTCTCTCTGTCTCTCTTTGTCTCTTTCTGTCCCTCTCCCCATATGTATGTATATATGTATATACATGTGTATATATCTCTATATATTTATTAGAGAGATATTTACACACAGAGATTTCTCTATCTGTAGAGACACACATGCAAATTACCTAGATTGGATTTTAATACAAATAAACCAAAATATTCATTCATTTGAGCATGTATATACCAAATAGTTTAAAATAAAATTATTTTAAGGAAGTCAGTCATTTGTTAATTTATGTCTTTTTTTCAGTTCTTCGTGAGTTTGAGTGTTTTCTTCTCTAAAAAAATCAAGGAGTGTGCTGTACTGGACAAAGAAGTGGTTTTGGAGTCAGGAACATGTGGGTCCATGTCCTGCCTCTGATATATACTGGCTGTGTGACCTGGGCAAATCATTTAACCTCTCAGTGCCTCAAAGAAGTCTTTAAGACTATAAATTATGGACAGAACTGTTGCTAATCTGCATTGGTATAGGGAGTTTCTTAACTAGGAGTTCCCTATACCAGTGAAATCTCAGACCAGATACAAAATAATCTGCAAGCTTTTGAACTCTGTGTCAAAACAAAATGATTTAGGAGCCCTTTACTTACAGTAGTACTTATAATATGCCAAGTACTGAAGATATGAGATAGTAATGAAATAGATCTTGCCCTCAAGTAGTTTATATTCTTGTTGTCTACTCTAGAAACAATAAAAGGTAATTTTATAATGAGGTACATTCATCTCTAAGTGGCTAGTTAATCCTTCTTAATTGACATATGTAGTCATTGGGCAGCTGAGTGCCCTCCTGAGGACATAAAATATCACAGCTTTAATAGGTTATGACTTCCACATTCTGTGGGGAATGTATTCAGTGGCCAGGGGGTCTTTTCACAGTTTGGGATTGTGAGGGACAGTCACCCTTTGGAATTCTACATAATGACCTTGCATCTACTTTACCGAAAAAAATCCAACCCTGGAAATTGGACAAATTTAGTTAAAATATGAACAAAACATGGCTTGACTTGACTATCCTTGTCATTGAAACATGTGATGATATAGTTGTCCCTTTTCTAGAATAATTCCTCTCCCATTACTTCCAGGAGTTGAATTCAATAACTTTTGTTATGGTAGCTTATTGGAGGAGAGGGAAGAGGAAATAAGGTCACCTCACTTTCCATAAAATTTAACTTGAAGTTATAACTGGAAAGAACATTGGATTTAGAAAGAAAAAAGGCCTATGCTTGCATTCCTGACCACCACTTACTAACTGGGTGTCTTGGTTGGCCTATTATTGCACTTTTCTGAGCCTTCGCTTCCTTCCTTATAAAATGAGTGGATCATAGGTGGTCATCAAGGTCTGTTCTAGATCTAAATCCTATGAAGCATCAAAATGACTTTACTACCTATGATTTTAGGACCAATTTTTAATGTTTTGGGATTAGGTTCTGATTTTCATTGTTAAAAAAATGCACACATGAAATTACATCAAGAACCAATGCCTTGTTTTTAAAATGAGAGATATTTCTGAGTTACAAGCACACAAAGAAGCAATTTTAAAAATCAACTCATATCCATTGTTTTTTCTCTGTAACATCTTACTTTGCATAATTGAAATTGATTGACATTTAAAGTGTAGACATTATTTCACAAACGAGACATTTGAGGCTTAGGCAAATCTATAGCTTTGGCAGAGGATCTGAATAACATTCACTCCTAATTGCCACAAATATGTAACAGGTGTGTAGGGCTGTGAGGTAAAAATGGGCTAGGGCCAAACTGATAGGTTTCTGTGTTTAAATAGCTGTTGAAGCCAGTGAAATAACCAGTTACTTTTTAAAAATAGGTGGTTTCATTTTGTTAGATAATTAAAATAAATTAGTAACTTGGTACTAGTCAGTCTTTTTTAAAAATAGCTGGCTGATTAGATTTACTGGATTATTTGTATGTATGGGGTTTTTTTTATTGATTTGTGTAGGAGACTGCAGTGGAGTTTTTGAATTAGTGAGTGTAGGTGTGATTTCTTTTTCCTTGAAGATGGATGAGTAATCACCTTAATTGTGATTCTCACCCAAGTGAGGAAGTAACCAAGACATAGTTCAACACTTCTAAGCAGAGGTAAGGGTTCCCTGACTTCTGAAATGAGCTAACAGTTATGGGTTAAAGGATTTGTGACTTTGTACTAATTGCGTGGGGTGTTTTTTGTTTTGGTTTGGTTTGGGTTTGGTGATCTTTTCCCCAGAGGCAACACATAAGAGACCATTAAAAATAATAATTTAAGGTTGTTAATTTGTATCATTGCTAATTTATTATCATGATTAATCTTGTATTTCTCTATACTTATTCTCTGGGCTATTTGCAAAGATTTGTGACCTAATCACTAAATAAACAAGTAATACCCCCAGAAGTCTGGGTTTGTAAGGAAGCTTGGACAAGCTTATGATTAGCATCGCCCTACTGCCTTAAGCTACCTATTTTTGAGATGGCTTTCTTTATACCTTTGACCCCATGACTGTTGTAGACATTTGGCCTGTATTCCTGAAGAAACTGAAAAGCCAGTGCAGGGACCACTATACATCCAAGGTCAGAATTAGGGTTTCTCTACCCTTTCTTTTTTAAAAAACTTAAAATGTTGAGACTATTATTGTTCTAGTGTTCTTGTGGAGGGAATGCATCATTCCTATCATGAGGACAGTTTTCCTTCACAAGTCAGCCTGTGGTGGCAAACACAGATGATGTGCCAACTGAAAAGTTCACAAGTTTTTCAAGATTGAAAGAACTGAGTAGTGGTTGCACCAGAGGCAGTTGTCTTCAGAATCCATGTGGATTCACTGAAAATACCAGAAAATGGACTCTTGGAAGAGCATCAGTCCATTTTAGCGAAAACAACTATGATTCGAGGGCCAATCAGTAAATATGCCAACTATGTGCCAAGCACTGTGCTAGATGCCAGGGATGAAAAACCAATGAATGAAACAATTCTTACTAGCAAAGAACCCATAATCCTAACAGGAGAAGCAACAGGGACATATATAAATTTCTACAAAATAAATTGAAAGAGAATAAATAAAAATTGAGTAGTTAACTATAAAGTAATTTGGGAAGCAGAGCCCTAGCAGGACAGACCATCTGGTATGGTAGAGGACATTGAATATTTTGTAAAATAGCAGTAACACATACTGAAGATAATATTTTCAAAGTATAGTTCCAGAGCATAACCAAAATCTTGGGTTAAGGAGAATTTCAGAGACCTGATTCCATTAGTTGAAATAGTCGAGCATCAATTTTGAAAATTCCTTTTATGTCAAAATTGACTATTCAAATACAAAATTGAGCGTGATGCAGCTCATTATAACCCAGGTCCGTATTTCATGAGTCAGGATATCTTGTAGTCAAATTCCATCAAGACAGGTAGTTGATCTTTAGGCCTAACACACGATGTTATACAAAAGTTCCACCATCCCCAAATCAAAAGCACTTACATGTGGGACTTAGCAAATGAAGAGAAAGGAAG